TTGATTTTGTGTGGTTTTAATGGTAGTGATGCATAAAATTCTGAGTTTTCAAGGGTTCAATTATGTGGTTTTGTGTAACTAATGAAAGGACTGAGTTCACGAACCACTAAACCTTGTTTATAGATTTTGTCGGTGTTGGAGTTTCTTGAAAAAAATAATATAAGAGCTTGCTAATTGTAACCTTAATCAAGGGTTAAGCATTAAACATAACAAGGTTGCATTTGTATAAGAAGTGAAAGATAATCAAGGGTTTGTTCTTTACTTTTTTGTGTTTAAATCACCACAGTAAAATATGAAAACTTAAGAACAAAGCTAAAGAATCAAGAGTATTAAAACACTTACACAGCTCGAGCAATACTCTCACTTCAACTTGTCTTTGTCAATGTTTCTTTGAACTCGTCTAATGTTAGGAGTTCAGTGGTTTCTAAGTGCTCTCTACAAGAATCATCCATCTCATCCAAGCTAAGTACTTTGCTCCTCCTCTGCATCTCGTTCCAGCTCTTTACTGAAAAACCAACAACACATAACCAAATCTTAGCTAAAAAATAGGAAAACAAACACAAAAGACAACACAAAAGATTATGTTTTCCATAAGTATTGGTTGGTAGAAAGTTCATTTTCACAGTATAAGCTAAAATCATGATACCCACAAAAACCTACCAACAAAATGAAAATATTAGATACAAAAAGCTCCAAACTTTACCGAGAGTATCGTACACACAAGCCATTTGCAACAATTACTTGAATCATCTATTGTACGATAGTTGTCCTTGCACAATATAAGCTACTGTTGATGCATGCCTAATACATTAATACCCACAAGCCATTTGCAACAATTACTTGAATCATCAAAGTTTTTTTGAGACTGAAGGCATGGTCCCCATAAGATCTGAAAAAAATCTCTGCAGAGATAAACAACTTTGTTTAAACGACTTCAATCTGAGGCCAGATCAACTCCAAAACTTTTTTCTCCTCCGCCGCAGATTTCATCAGAGGTGAAAAATTTTCTAATAGGATTTGGCTCTTGTCCACGTCCATCTCCCAAAGCTTCTCCATCAGATTTACAATCTTTCCAACGCATCTAAGTTTCTTGTTCTTCATCGATTTGCAAAGGAATCAAGGTTTGGGGTGAGGTTTGAAGTGAATTAAGCTTTGAGTTGTTTGTATATTTGCTGGAAATTAGGTTTGGACAAAGTGAATTGGAGAATTTGAGTTTATGTGTTTTCGACGGAATTGGGTTTTGTGGAGAAAATAGGATGTAGATGAGAGAGAGGCTTGTACACATGTAATTGAGAGATATATAGCTTGGTAATGATGTAGGATATATTAGTTAAATAACACAATAAAAATATGTCACATGCATAAAATGTCTCTGTGTAATTATAAAGATAAAAAGTGCATGTAGAGGTAAAAAATTCTATTCGTTTTTGCAATCTCAAATAGTAACTAAAATGAACTTTTTTTTTTAACACAAAACTCAAATGAACTTAAAGTGATATTAAGACTCATAAACTGACCCTGAGTGTAAAGCGGTCTTAATAGAAGGGCCAAATATGAAATACCTAATAATATGAGGTCATATATGAAAGTTGTGGCCAATTATAATTTGAGGCTTTTTCGATACGAGATCGCCGTTTTACTCATCTTTGGTATTTTCCTCTTCCTCTTGAACGAAGCCCTCTAATCTCCATCACCCACTTCCTTCAATTCCAGGTTATTCGCTCTCTCGGTCTCGTTTACTCCTTGCGATTTCAATTTAAATAATAAGTTCAATTGCTCTGAGAAATTGTTTTGAACGGCGCTGAAACATACAACTCCGACTTGTCTCTTCTAACCCTAAATCGGTATGATTTTTCAAGTAGTGTCTGAAATTGATATCGAATTTCACTTTTTCTTTTCTGGGTTTCACGAAATTCATCTCCTTTACGCTTGTAATTTTACATGAGCATCGATAAGTGATTTCTAGGGTTTCGGATGAATCTAGGATTTTCAACTCTAAGAATAAAGATTTGTTCTTTGTTTCTCTATGTCTCTAAATTGGTTCTCATTCTTCCATTGACTACAAAGTATCAAGCTTTTAGCTTTCTTAATGTGCTGAGTTTCTGTTTCAGGTGTCGAGGGGACGTAGGGCGTCTCTAAGCATTTGACTAGAAACATGGCGGAGATACAGACAAATGGAAGATCATACGAGTCACTTTTGGAAAAGGTTCTTTCCATGAACATTGTCTCTTCTGACTATTTCAAAGAGCTTTATGGTCTCAAGACTTACCATGAGGTCATTGATGAAATCTACAACCAAGTTAGTCATGTCGAGCCCTGGATGGGTGGGAACTGCCGTGGTCCTTCCACAGCCTATTGTCTGCTCTACAAATTCTTCACCATGAAACTCACTGTGAAGCAGATGCATGGCCTCTTGAAGCACACCGATTCTCCTTATATCAGAGCGGTGAGTGCATCTTCTTAACCCTCTTCTTGCATTATTCACCCTGAAATTTATAGTTGCTAAGAGCCAGCAACACATGTGCATATATTCATATATTTATGTAGCCTTTGTGTGCTGTTTTGTTTCTTGTAAGTCTATGTTATCACGGAAAAAGTAGGTGTTTCCTTTGTTTGGAAAAATAATTAGAGAGCCTGTAACAGTAAGGTAATAGCATTCCTTATCTCTGAGTTCCTTCTGAAACTAATCTTTTTCTCATCCCGTGTTGAAGGTGTATGAGCCTACACGTAATTGTTTTTTTTGTGTGTTTCGTTAACAGATTTTCACAACAAGAAACAAAGTTGGGATGCCTTTCTTTCTTTGTGTTGCTGAGTGTTTCTCCCACCATTATTAATAAGACCTTTCTTTGCTAGCAGTCTCTGCAAATCAAGGTTTGAGGTGTCTTTTCTATTTTAGATACTCTCTCAGTCTATCTCTAGGATCACCTCACTACCCATTTAAACAGTATAGAAACCGACGACTGTCCGTCTAGCGTACTTCCCTCTTAGTTGAGCACCGGTTGTCCATTTAAGTTCTAGGATCTATGTGAAGTTTTTTTTTTTCCTTGGTTTACTTGTCTGGAAGTTTTTATAGTCTTGCATTTTATATCGTTGTTCCTCTATGTCATAACACCTTGTCTCATCTGCTTTTTATCTGACCAAATGTTACTATATGTGCAGGTCGGATTCCTATATTTAAGATATGTTGCAGATGCAAAGACGTTGTGGACATGGTATGAACCATACATTAAAGATGATGAGGTAACCTTCTTTTTCATGTTCCTTGAATACCATACGATTATGAATGACATTTTACAGATATCAAGCTCTCAAGAAATGTACCCTACGCATTTGCCTGTTCATACATCTGGATTCTTGTAGTTTGTGTGTGAGTTTAGCATCTTATTTTTCTTTAGTTCCTTAAAAATGTTCGTTTGAATATAGAAGCTCTTGTTAGTATTCTAAATGAGGTGGTCATGAATAGAGTTTGGATCCATACAGTAGAATGTTTATGACCTGAATTCTCAAACTCTTTGTCTTAAGTCTTGTGGACCTTTCTTAGGATGTGTGGAATGCTGTTTGGCATACAGCTTTACAAGAATAACTGAATATATTTATTTACTTTGCTTCAGGAGTTTGCACCAGGATCAAATGGACGGGTGACGACCATGGGTGTTTACGTACGTGATCTGCTTCTTGGACTGGTGAGTACATAATAATATATCTAATGTTTATTGGTTTTGCTATGTTGTTATTGAGGACGCAGTTGCTTGTGTAAGTTTTACATCTGTATCTCGAAAATCATCTAAGTAGTAAGTTATGGTTGTGAAGGGCATTCTGTGATAATCGGCTAGAAGAGTTTACTTCATTTCTGCATGTGGAGATGTATTGGAAGTTCCTTTGATGTATCCATAAATTATTTTGAGCATTGTGATGCGTTAATGTATTAGTTCCTGAATCTTACTTTTTTTTTTTTTCGCAGTATTACTTTGACACTTTGTTTCCACGTATTCCGGTTCCTGTGATGCGCCAGATTGTATCAAACCTTGAGAAGATGAATTTACCAACTAAACCATCTGGTTCAACGGGAGACATGTCTCGTGGCTCTGAAGACACTGCCCGTCGTCCACCATCAGTAAAAGCATCCCTCTCCGTTTCATTTGGGCAGCGTGCACCTCACCGTGCCTCCACCAGAGGCTCATCTCCTGTTCGCCGTCCTCCACCTTCTGGTTATGACAGAAACGAACGCGATGAACCACAACAACGTCGGTCCCCGCGTAGGAGCCAGAGCCGAGACTATTATTCGGACAGAGACTCAGATAGACTGAGGGAGAGAGAGAGGGAGAGGGAAAGAGATAGATACAGAGAAAGGGAGAGGGAGAGGGATTATGGTAATGATAGGAGATCAAGGCGTGACTATGAAAGTAGAAGCAGACGCAGTGATTACGAGGATGATAGAAGCAGACGTGATGACCGGAGAAGCAGGAGCAGAAGCAGGAGTAGGAGCAGGAGTGTGCAAATGGAGCGCGACCATGGCAACAAGGAGAAAGCAGCTGCGACTGTTAACAGCAACCTCGCAAAGCTAAAAGATTTATATGGAGACGCAAGTAATCAGAAAGGGGATGAAGGATATGGAACAAGGAGGGATTCAAGTTCAGAAGAAGTCATCAAGCTTGGTGGTTCCTCTTGGAGGTGAAAACAAGACTCTGTGACTTGAAATGCTTCTTCTATGTTGTAGGATGATGCATGTTGTTTTACTTTACTGCTTTAAAACTTTCAAGCAAACTATTTGTTACAGATTTCATATCTTTTATGTTGAATTGATCTGACTTTGAACTTTGTCTTGATTTTCTTACATTTTATTCTGTGGTTTCTACAACTTTGTTTTTTATTATAAGGAAAAACATATAAAAAAATTAACTTTGGACTTTATTGGATGCAAAATGATTTTGTCTTTTGTTGAGAACAATTTATATCCATAAGAAAATCAAAAACTGTCTGAATCCATTTTTTCGATCAAGATGGATTCTCTTGTTCTCCTTCAGCCTCTCCACAGTCTAACTTCCACCATCTTCTTTTCACAGCAGCGAAGTTGTGGTTTGAGTCATTTCACATCCTCTCTGAAACGTTTACCCTTAAAAAGACTCAATCTTTCGAAACCCTCTACTCTCACATTTGCTCTTGCTGAATCGGATTCTCCTCAACCTTTAGAAACAAGCCCCAAATCTCTTCTCCAACAACTCTCTGTAAGTGACAAAAAAAAAAAACTCTGTTTTCTGATAATTGATATGAGTCAAAAAAAATTGAAACTTCGTTGTGTGTTGTGTTGTTGCAGAAGTGTTTCGATCTTCCATCAGACTATTTCCGGCAGCTACCAAGTGATCTTCGTCTCGATGTAAGGAAGCCCCTATTCTACTTGAGTTTCCTCAAAGCTTACAACTTTTTGTGATTTTTGGATTATTTGTCTTTTCAGTTAAATGATGCTGCCTTTGATCTCTCCAATGGACCCATCATCGATGAGGTTAGTTCCTGCTAAGTATTGGACCAACAAATCATGTGAACATGGCTTCATCTTTACAAAGTTCCATCCATATTTATAGCAGAAGCTGTTTCGCTTCCTTATTCGTCTTCTTTGGTATCTCTATAAGATTGATAGAACTGTCGTCTTGTTTGTGTTCACGCTTAACTTGTTTGACTAGCAACTAATGATATGGCCTCTTTGTTCTTCTGGGCTATAGACATGTCTGTTAACGTCTAGGACCCTTATATTATATCTTAGGATCTTCTCCTTCGATCACCACCGCTTACATCCGTGGTTTGTATGTCATCTTTGCTGTTAAATCGTTTGTAGTGTTCTTTTTTTTTTTTTTTTTTTTTTTT